ATGTATATAATATGATCTAGTATAGGCTGCAACTCCAGGCCTCCATCTGATCTGCGGTATGTATATAATATGGTCTAGTATAGGCTGCAACTCCAGGCCTCCATCTGATCTGCGGTATGTACATAATCTGATCTAGTATAGGCTGCAACTCCAGGCCTCCATCTGATCTGCGGTATGTACATAATATGGTCTAGTATAGGCTGCAACTCCAGGCCTCCATCTGATCTGTGGTATGTACATAATATGGTCCAGTATAGGCTGCTGCAACTCCAGGCCTCCCATCTGATCTGCGGTATGTACATAGTCTGGTCTAGTATAGGCTGCAACTCCAGGCCTCCATATCTGATCTGCGGTATGTATATAATATGATCTAGTATAGGCTGCAACTCCAGGCCTCCATCTGATCTGCGGTATGTATATAATATGGTCTAGTATAGGCTGCAACTCCAGGCCTCCATCTGATCTGCGGTAATTGTACATAATCTGATCTAGTATAGGCTGCAACTCCAGGCCTCCATCTGATCTGCGGTATGTACATAATATGGTCTAGTATAGGCTGCAATTCCAGGCCTCCATCTGATCTGTGGTATGTACATAATATGGTCCAGTATAGGCTGCAACTCCAGGCCTCCATCTGATCTGCGGTATGTACATAGTCTGGTCTAGTATAGGCTGCAACTCCAGGCCTCCATCTGATCTGCGGTATGTATATAATATGATCTAGTATAGGCTGCAACTCCAGGCCTCCATCTGATCTGCGGTATGTATATAATATATGTCTAGTATAGGCTGCAACTCCAGGCCTCCATCTGATCTGCGGTATGTACATAATATGGTCCAGTATAGGCTGCAACTCCAGGCCTCCATCTGATCTGCGCGGTATGTACATAGTCTGGTCTAGTATAGGCTGCAACTCCAGGCCTCCATCTGATCTGCGGTATGTACATAATATGGTCCAGTATAGGCTGCAACTCCAGGCCTCCATCTGATCTGCGGTATGTACAAAGTCTGGTCTAGTATAGGCTGCAACTCCAGGCCTCCATCTGATCTGCGGTATGTACATAATATGGTCCAGTATAGGCTGCAACTCCAGGCCTCCATCTGATCTGCGGTATGTACATAATATGGTCCATGTATAGGCTGCAACTCCAGGCCTCCATCTGATCTGCGGTATGTACATAATCTGGTCTAGTATAGGCTGCAACTCCAGGCCTCCATCTGATCTGCGGTATGTACATAGTCTGGTCTAGTATAGGCTGCAACTCCAGGCCTCCATCTGATCTGCGGTATGTACATAATATGGTCCAGTATAGGCTGCAACTCCAGGCCTCCATCTGATCTGCGGTATGTACATAATCTGGTCTAGTATAGGCTGCAACTCCAGGCCTCCATCTTGAAAGGAATTTGACTCTCATCCCTCTCAAGACACTGACCCCCGTCAGTCCCAGGCTTGACCAGTGATTGTCCTCAGGCCTGGAGTCCACTTTGAGACACAGGAAACGCAGACACAAGGTGGTATCTCAGAATGAACTCCAGGCCTGAGGGCAATCACTGATCAAGCCAGGGACTGACGGGGGTCAGTGTCTTGAGAGGGATGAGAGTCCAATTCTTTTCACATCTAATCTGCGGTATGTACATAGTCTGGTCTAGTATAGGCTGCAACTCCAGGCCTCCATCTGATCTGCGGTATGTACATAGTCTGGTCTAGTATAGGCTGCAACTCCAGGCCTCCATCTGATCTGCGGTATGTACATAGTCTGGTCTAGTATAGGCTGCAACTCCAGGCCTCCATCTGATCTGCGGTATGTACATAGTCTGGTCTAGTATAGGCTGCAACTCCAGGCCTCCATCTGATCTGCGGTATGTACATAATCTGGTCTAGTATAGGCTGCGGTATGTACATAATCTGGTCTAGTATAGGCTGCAACTCCAGGCCTCCCTCTGATCTGCGGTATGTACATAATCTGGTCTAGTATAGGCTGCAACTCCAGGCCTCCCTCTGATCTGCGGTATGTACATAGTCTGGTCTAGTATAGGCTGCTACTCCAGGCCGCCATCTGATCTGTGGTATGTACATAGTCTGGTCTATTATAGGCTGCAACTCCAGACTTACAATTGATCTGCGGTATGTACATAATCTGGTCTAGTATAGGCTGCAACTCCAGGCCTCCATCTGATCTGCGGTATGTATATAATATGGTCTAGTATAGGCTGCAACTCCAGGCCTCCATCTGATCTGCGGTATGTACATAATATGGTCTAGTATAGGCTGCAATTCCAGGCCTCCATCTGATCTGCGGTATGTACATAATATGGTCCAGTATAGGGCTGCAACTCCAGGCCTCCATCTGATCTGCGGTATGTACATAGTCTGGTCTAGTATAGGCTGCAACTCCAGGCCTCCATCTGATCTGCGGTATGTACAAAGTCTGGTCTAGTATAGGCTGCAACTCCAGGCCTCCATCTGATCTGCGGTATGTACATAGTCTGGTCTAGTATAGGCTGCAACTCCAGGCCTCCATCTGATCTGCGGTATGTACAAAGTCTGGTCTAGTATAGGCTGCAACTCCAGGCCTCCATCTGATCTGCGGTATGTACATAAGTCTGGTCTAGTATAGGCTGCAACTCCAGGCCTCCATCTGATCTGCGGTATGTACATAATATGGTCTAGTATAGGCTGCAACTCCAGGCCTCCATCTGATCTGCGGTATGTACATAGTCTGGTCTATTATAGGCTGCAACGCCAGGCCTTACAATTGATCTGCGGTATGTACGTAATCTGGTCTGGTATAGGCTGCAACTCCAGGCCTCCATCTGATCTGCGGTATGTACATAGTCTGGTCTAGTATAGGCTGCAACTCCAGGCCTCCATCTGATCTGCGGTATGTACATAGTCTGGTCTAGTATAGGCTGCAACTCCAGGCCTCCATCTGATCTGCGGTATGTACATAGTCTGGTCTAGTATAGGCTGCAACGCCAGACTTACAATTGATCTGCGGTATGTACATAATCTTGTCTGTATAAGCTGTAACTCCAGGCCTCCATCTGATCTGCGGTATGTACAAGGCTATATACAGTTGTGGCCAAAATTATTCAACCCCCACTGAAATTGAGTGTTTTGGCCAGTTTGACATTGCTTTTGATCATTCAGTCATCTTGCTTACATTTACATTAAAGAGGCACTTGTAGGTCAGACAAATATAACATAACAGTTATAATGAAATAACCACAAATGTCTTTTCTGTGCTCACAGCATTATCAGTTTTATTCAACCCCCAAGTGACATTCAATCTTAGTACTTAGTACAGCATCCTTTTACAGTTATAACAGCTTTTAAACGTGAAGCATAGCTTGACACAAGTGTCTTGCAGCGATCTACGGGTATCTTCGCCCATTCTTCATGGGCAAAGGCCTCCAGTTCAGTCACATTCTTAGGCTTGCGCACTGCAACTGCTTTCTTTAAGTCCCACCAGAGGTTCTCAATCGGATTTAAGTCTGGTGACTGCGATGGCCACTCCAAAATGTTCCAGCCTTTCCTCTGCAACCATGCTCTAGTGGACTTGGAGGTATGCTTGGGATCATTGTCCTGTTGAAAGGTCCAACGTCTCCCAAGCCTCAGGTGTGTGACGGACTGCATCACGTTTTCCATCCAATATCTCCTGGTACTGAAGAGAATTCATGGTACCTTGCACACGCTGAAGCTTCCCTGTACCTGCAGAAGCAAAACAGCCCCAAAGCATGATTGACCCTCCACCATGCTTCACAGTAGGCAAGGTGTTCTTTTCATCATAGGCCTTGTTCTTCCTCCTCCAAACATAGCGTTGATCCATGGGCCCAAACAGTTCTAATTTTGTTTCATCAGTCCACAGAACACTATCCCACAACTTTTGTGGTTTGTCCACATGGCTTTTGGCATACTGCAGTCGACTCTTCTTATTCTTTGGAGACAGCAAGGGGGTACGCCTGGGAGTTCTGGCACGGAGGCCTTCATTACGCAGTGTGCGTCTTATTGTCTGGGCTGAAACTTCTGTACCCACATCTGACAAATCTTTTCTCAGTTCCTCAGCAGTCACACGGGGACTTCTCTCCACTCTACGCTTCAGGTAGCGCACAGCAGTCGAAGTCAGCATCTTCTTTCTGCCACGACCAGGTAGCGTTTCAACAGTGCCCTTTGCCTTGAATTTGCGAATGATGCTTCCTAAGGTGTCTCTTGGTATGTTTAACATCTTTGCAATCTTCTTATAGCCATTGCCCTTCCTGTGAAGAGAAATCACCTCTTCTCTTGTCTTCCTGGACCATTCTCTTGCCTTCACCATGTTTGTAACCACACCAGTAAATGTCTAGAAGGAGCTGAGTATCACAGTCATTTTAAAAGCTGCCTAATTGGTGCTTATTATGCTTGATTGCTGCTCGGTGACATCCACAGGTGTTTTTCAATACCTGATGGAAAGCACCTGTATGAACCTCTGTTCTTCAGAGTGGTAGTCTTTAAGGGGTTGAATAATTGTGGCAATGAAGAAACCACATAAGAACCATTTACTACTGTATTACATAAACAATTGATGTCATTTTAGTTGCATTTGGGTATTACAACGTCCTTGTAGGATTTGATTCTGAATACAATTCCAAATGTACACTATAGTCCCTAAACCCCTTTACAGCATTGGGGGTTGAATAATTTTGGCCACAACTGTATGTAACATGGGGGAGTGGTGATGGTGGGATATTAGTCTTAATAATTTGAATGTATCGTTATTATGTTATTTATATTTGTCTGAATATTTTGATTTCTGCATAACATCCGGTCATTGTAAAAAAACAAAACAAAAAAAAAAAACAGGTGCTGGTGAGTAACCTAAATCATGAAACAAGTTTTAAATTTGATGGTGTTAATAATTATAGACTTTTTTTTTTTTTTTTTTTTTTTTTTAGAGAATGAAAAGCAAATTGTGCAGACAATTGAAATTTTGCTCTTACCATAACTTCCATTTTTCTTGCAGACAGGTATGGTGCGTTGTGACACGGCAGTTGGAACACCAGACTACATATCACCTGAAGTGTTGAAGTCTCAGGGGGGAGACGGCTACTATGGACGGGAGTGTGACTGGTGGTCTGTGGGAGTCTTCTTGTTTGAGATGTTAGTTGGTAAGTGACTTGAGGCACAATAAAGGAGTGGGTTAACACAGCAGGATTGTAATAATTCCGCCTGCAGCTTTCTTCATGGCAACAGAATTCTAAAAGCACATCACTGAGAACTACGCAGGGTGGTGAGGGGAAGGGTCCTTGTGCAAATAATGATCGAGCAAATCGGTCGATCCCCAGCACAGGCTCTAATGATGAAACTATTTCGGTTTTGTGGAATGCCCATAGTAATAAGGTCATGTTATTATTGGCATTATACTGTTAGGTTTCAATTTTGACGAAAGTTGGGCTTTTAAGCAGCTAAAATCTATTTCTGTATAAAATCCTCATTTCATATCCACATTTCTGACCCTGAAATAAGCTACACTTTGGAGAAACATTGTTTACTTGGGTACATCTAAAAACAGGAATAAATGTGTTCAGTGCTCTATTCCTAGGGGACTTGTGCTGTTAGTTTGATATGGAGGCGGCGGGCAAAGACTCCAATATACTGAAGATTACACTAATCTACTCTCGTCATTCCAGTAAAACTAGAGAATTCATGAATTCTCTTTTTGGCAAACCTACATTAGTCCAGCTTGGATCGATTATAACTCTCCATATCTGACATCTGGAGGGCTGCTGGGTAGTCTGCACTACATACATTGATCACCACAATCGTCTGGGTGCTGCTCCAGCGGCCTCCCCTCTGCACAGTGAAAACATTGCTTGCTTGGGTTACTTGCTTGGCACTGCCCCATTTGAAGAACGCCTTGTAATTTTTTTTTTCTTTCAATGAATGCAAAGGGTTCTCAGGATGGCCGAAATTGAGGGAAGGGGTGGATGATGTCTCAAAATGTATAATCAGGAAAGGTAGTTGCTGTTGCTTAGGCAGGCCATTCATGATTCCTTTAATTTTGTTCAACAAGCAGTTTGAAAGAAAAAAAACTGGCTCGACTTCCCCAGCCACATACTCATAGTGGATGGGGGGATCCTCCACACTGAGCTATTGTTTTTTGATAGCAGGGATACTTCTATTACTTTTACTATAGCATTCTACTATAGCCTGCAGCACTGATGGAGCAGGGAAAATCCAACAGGGTGGTTGTGCAAAAGTCGATTTGGTAGATCGAAGTGAAGTCTCCCTGCTATCAGAATACAAAGACAACTGTTCTGTTTGATTTTTCCTGCTTGATTGGTGCTGCAATTTATAGCATGCGCCACTGTTCAGTGTACTCTGACAGCATGGAAGTTTCCCTGCTATCAGAATACAAAGACACAGCAGGTAGGATTCCAACATCCTCCTCAAATGTGTGGATGGGGAATTCGGTCAGTTTCTTCATTTAACCGCTGGTTGAACAAAAAACGAACTCATCTATGGCCAACCTTACCATATTACAATGTGGTCACCAGGAGACCTGCTGTTACCTGATTCTTCCAAAATCATTGGTACTGGTTAAAGGGAGGACAGAGTAGGATAGAATGTTTGGACACTTAGCTCTGGCAATGTAGCAGCCCAAGTTTACATCTCTAAATACTTGTCATGAGAGACATGGCTGTAATGTCATTGCTCGCTTAATTCACAATTTATTGAACCCCATGGTTTTGTTAGTGATTCAGTTACCCATAGTGAGCATTCAGCTCTTGGATTTCAGCTTCACTTGCTGCACTGCTAATAGAGTGGTGAGTACAGAAGATCAGTTTTACACCCAAGTAACTATTCGTTTCTGAAGGAAGTCGACAAAGGCAACAGTATTTCTTTACTGGCCGGTTCACATTAAAATATTGGGTGTATAAAGTATTTCTCCACGGTCGTAGTATGGTGGTCATTATTTACAGAGATAACGTGTGATGGCCCTGTAAATTAAACCCATGTGTCATGATTGTAGAGGTTATAGGGAGGTTAGATTTATGCTCCTGGGCTTTATTGTAAATCCATATGTTTTTCTATAGTTTCCATTCATACCAGTATAATTCTTCCTGTATTAGATTACATCTCACCTAATATTGAGATTTCCTTTTTGGACTCCTATCTGTTATTTGAACTCTGCCTCCATGTGCCCCTTTCTCTTATGAATGCTACTCTGTTACGAATGCTGCGACTTCTGATCAGATGAGTACACCTCTTTATAATATATAATTCACGGAGACCTATCACAGCAGTCTGTAAAATATCCTTTATGTAGTGATGGGAGGGTTTTTGTCAGAGGGTGGAAGAGCAGCCCTGAAGCAATGGGGACATATTAGTGAGGCATGACAGAGGGGGCAAGATGGCAGGTACCTCTTGAACAGTCCTATACATATATAGCATTTACAATAAATGTACATTCTGGTGGACTTGCCATTGTGATCATCACAGCAAAGAATATTAAGTGTTAAATCCCATTAAATGAATATATAGTGGTTTTGTACGCATTTCAAATGAAGGGTGAAAGGAAAACTGAAAAGTCTTCCCTTGACTTTAAAGGAAATCTAGCATGATAGAAAGCGGGCTGCCATTCCCAAATGCCTTCAGAAAATCCTAGTTGTACTGATCCTCTGGCTGAAATTTAGTCAATTTTTGGAGAAGAAAGTGGGTTGAATGACTTTGGCTGTCATTCAACCCAGGAGACTGAGGACATCTTGTGGTGAAACAGTGTGACTGTGGTGTACAGCTCATGATTGAAGGTACGTATTGCAGCAAAAGCCACTTTTCCATTTTATCTTTTAATGGACAGTTCATTTTTTTTTTTTTAAACTTAAGTTATGTTTTAAATATGTTGAATAATTTGACCCTAGAACAGTTTTTCAGATTAGCGGTTCAGGCTTCATTAGCCATAAACTTATACAGGGTTAGTGTCTGAAAGGTTTTTAATACCAGAGTATTAGCCAGATAACTAGCATTTTCATGTTTGCAATCGCTGTCTATGCATTTCTCTTGTGTTGGGTCATCTTTAGTACCTGTTCTGCAAAACATTTGCACTGAGCATTATGGAGAAGTTACGTGAGTTTATAAGCTGATTTTTTTTTTTAAATTATTTTTGCAAAATAAACTTTAATACCAGGTGTGTTCTACATCAGTATGCACTTAGTGCAGGGATGTCTAACAATAATCTGGGCAGCACAGTGGCCAAGTGGTTAGCTCTTTCGCCTAGCTGCACTATTGTCATCGTTTTGTATCCCAACCACTGCACTAGCTGCCTGGATTTTGTGTGTTCTCCCTGTGCCTGCGTGGGTTTTCTCCCACAATCCAAAGACATGCTGGTAGGTAAATTGTCCCTAGTATATGTATGTATGAATGTTAGAGTTAGGGGCCTTTTCGATTTTGCACTTCTTGAGGGCAAAGGTTGATGTGGCTGTGTAATAAAAATATGGTGCTATAAAAGTACCTCTAATAAATAATAACAAGAAAGCCCAGCACTAGCTCTGCACTGGCTAAAAATCTGCATGGATCTGCCTCTGCTTGAAGAGGAGAGTTGCCATGTAGCTGTATGTGAACCAAGAAGTAAACCAGCTATCTCAAACTTGAGCACAAAACTCGTTCTTGCCCCTTGCTGCAAATGAGAATATATGAAATTTTATGTATTATTTTATATTTACCTGGCTATATGTAGTATTTCATATTTACATGACCAGTATTAAAGTGGTAGTAAAGTCTCTGCGGAAAAAAAAAAAGCTTTCCCCCTGCAAGGCAATATCATAATGTGCTAGTATGCATTATATACTAGCACATTATGAAAGGCTTATTACATTGGCCCTCCAGTGGAATGCTGTCACCGCTGAGAGGGCTTCCATCTTCACTTTGTTTTCCTTCCAGGGTCATAGGCTGCAGTCCTCTGAATGACCGCCGCAATGACGGCACTTTTGTGCAGTAGCTCCGGGCACAGCACGGAGCTCTGAAGGAGTGGCACAGGTATGCTGTTCCTTCAGGGCTTATGCACCTGGCGAATCTCCAGCTGATTGCTTGTTGGAATAACTTAAACAGTGCATGTTTAACCACGTGCCGACCACAGATAGCCGAATGACGGCTTCACTGTGGCCGGCCAGTTGTGGGGGGGGCGTCATATGATGTCCTCCCAGAATGCCAACGTCCCCCAGGGGCGAGCACCTGGCGATCTCCATGATTGCTGTGTCCTATTGACACAGCTGATCACGTGATGTGGTAAAAATGGCCAATCACAGCGGCCTTTTACACGTGATCAGCTGTGTTCAATGACACAACAGATCACCGGTAAATGCAGTTGCTGGTTATCGGTTGCACTTTCCTCACTCTGTCACAGTGTGTGTGAAAGTACTGCCGATAACTGGCAATTCTCAGAAGAGGGATCAGCACCGATCATCAGGGCACTGATGATCGATGTCCAGCAGTGCTGCCCACTTGTGCCCAGCAGTGCTGCCCACTTGTGCCCAGCAGTGCTGCCCACTTGTGCCCAGCAGTGCTGCCCACCTGTGCCCAGCAGTGCCTATCATTGTTGCATATCAGTGCCAGCTCATCAGCGCTGCCTATCAGTGCCCATCATTGTTGCATATCAGTGCCAGCTCATCAGTGCCGCCTATCAGTGCCCATCAGTGAAGTCTATCAGTGCTACCTATCAGTGCAGCCTCATCAACGCACATCAGTGAAGGAGAAAAATTACCTGTTTGCAAAATTTTATAATAGAAACAAAGAAAAAAATGTTTTTTTTTTTCTTCGAAATGTTTGCTTTTTTTTGTTTATAGCGCAAAAAATAAAACACCCCCAGCGGCGATTAAATACCACCAAAAGAAAACTCTATTTGTGTGAAAAAAATGATAAACATTTCATATGGGTGCAGTATTGCATGACTGCGTAATTATCACTCAAAGTGCGGCAGCGCTGAAAGCTGAAAATTTGCTTGGGCAGGAAGGGGGTATAAGTGCCCGGTAGGCAAGTGGGCTAAGAGAGATTCATTTTACCTACAGGTAAGCTGTATTAGAAGCTAACCTGTAGGTAAAAGTCGAAGAACGGACTGTACTACCACTTTAACTTTGTAGTGTTATCTGATCACAATACCTATTACTATAGCGATCCTTAAATTTGCCTTGTGCCATCTGTTTAGATCTGTTTCTCTTGAGCTTTTTGTTCATCAGATCTCATTGAATTCTCTGCTTCCATCTTAAGGAGATACTCCATTCTATGCAGACTCTTTGGTTGGAACCTACAGTAAGATCATGGATCACAAGAACTCGTTAAATTTTCCAGAAGATGTGGAAATTTCCAAGCATGCCAAAAACCTCATCTGTGCCTTCCTAACAGACAGGTACTGTCATTTGCACAATCCTAAATTTCTAACTACATGAGACAAATATTAATTAAAATGATATATTGGGGCATATATAAAGCAGGGAACAGTTGATCATCCTCTTATTCAGCACCACTGGATTACTTTCCTTTTAGGAAGAGAAAATGTATGTTTACTTGTAGAGGCACTATTTCTAAATATATGGATTTCCTCTACTTCATTTGTAAATCCCAGTGTGGCAAATGTTGTAGCTGATATGATCCCAATCAGTTTCTATCATTCCGATAAAAATCTATTATAGTGCAAAGAAACAAGCCAGAAGACTCTAGAGTGGTGAAGTCCTAGCTGAATAGTTCATAATGCCAAATGAGATATAGAAGCTGGCTTCAAAGGACTTGATTGCAGCTCATCAGCAGATAGGAGTATCTGTAGTAAAGTGGCAGTTGCCAGATTTTGTTACATATCAGGTGCCTTCCAAATAAGGATTTTTAGCCCCTTCCACTGATTGAAGTTTCACATTATAACATGCATTTATAAGAGGAATTCCAGCAAGTCTAGGTTGCCGAATTTATGGTAACTAGATTCCCTTACATTTTATAAATGTGCCCTTTACTGCATCGGTTAGGGTGTATCTAAAGCCATTTTTTTTTTATAGAGTACTGGCAGTTTAAAATCCCTGACATAATTTTTGGTCTGTGTCCTCCTGGGGAGTTTTCCATTACTTCCTGCCCTTGGGACATAACAGAAAGTGAGCTTAAGGGCCTATGTCAACCGGATTTTGTTCACATCAAACCTGCTTTTATTTATGTTTGGAATGCAAAAGCAACATGAAGCAGGTCAATGCAAGTCAAATACACTTGAAATGAATTCTAAATGATCACAGACATATCTCAAACTGATGTCAAATTGATGCCATTGACATAAGCCCATTGAAATAGGAACTGCTAGCAAAGTCTCAAAAAGCAGTAAACAGGTGAAAGAAGGACACTGCATTTGCCCATTGACACAAGCCCATAACCCTTTCACAACGGCTGTCCTCTTTGGATGATTTCTCCTCTTCTACTGTACCAGTGACAGCTGCAAAATTTAGATTTCCCCTTACTGTCTCAGTGAAAATAAACACAGGACAAGTAGAGAGGGTGAACCTCTCAAGTAGGTATTCAGATAGCATATGTAAAAAAAGGGGGTTCTAATCCTTCCCTATTCTATCCACCTAATGTAAAGGCCAACTCAACTTTTGTCGGGAAAAAATAGCACATATAATTGCTATACAGCCATAATTGAATATTATTAAAAATTGTCTTTCCTTTTCAACCTTCAGTGCTGTAATTTTTTCTAAAATGCAATACAACATGGCAACCTGGAGACGTTCTGTACACCATTGGTGTATGTAACACCCCCAGAAATGTAATTTCATGCTTGAATGATTGGCTCACTAATTTTCCCAGAAGTCTGCATCAAGTTACAAGTCAGATTTTAGGCATCCTCTGCAACTAAATTTTCTTTTTTAGTGAGATACTCCCAACGGGTAATTACTTTAAAAGGGGTGCAGGCACTGCCACTTTCTTCATTAGAACACTGAAAGTGCATCAACTGATTAATACTGAAAAAAGTAAATCCCATTCAGATCATTCGCACTGCAGACAAGACAACCTTTTATTCCGAGCAGGAATAGGTAGGACTCTGCAACAAAGTATGTTAAGTTCTTGATCAACCAAAGCTGATTGTTTTTTTTACTCAATGTAAGTGGCATTACTCTTATTATTATTATTATTATTATTATTAATAATAATAATAATTGAAAAAAAAAAAAAAAAAGCTTGTGCTGAGAGAAACACCAGGACTGACACTGCTGACCCTGAGAATAAAAACCTGCAGCAAACAGTCAGAACACCTGATCTGTGTATTCTTTCTAGGTCAGCAGCTCAGTAAACTGGAGACATTTAGATTGGCGTGTCAAGCAGGTGACTAGCATTTTCCAGAGCAGAAGACTGCTATGGTGGCCTCCAGGTTTCTTACAGCACAGATTTCCTATTTAAAAAAAAAAAAAAAAAAAAGTTTTGGATTGAGGAACCCTTCAGAAAGTTACAGATAGCTTTTAATCACTTTTGCAGAGAACTATCTAAGTCACAGGAACTTTTTAACTGTAGATATTTATGATAAATGTTATTACTACACATAGCTAACGTCCCGTTCCCTATTTTGTAGAATAATCCTGCCAAATACTTCTAGAAATTTAGTATAAAATTGCTGATAACAAAAGCAGAACGCCTTTTACATGAAAGAGATCCAGGTAATGTAAAACTATTCATATCTGAGCAGAAAATTAGATATATTAGCCATAGATCTATCTTTGCCATCCAGCCAGTTGTTACATTGGCTGCCATGGTAAGCTAAAAAATCTTAAAGTGAAATTGTGCTGCCTGAACGTGTAAAGCTAAATGGGGTACACACTATGAGAAAACTGGACGAACTATCGTCCGACCTTCCACCAAGGTACGTATCATGATGTCACTGACAATGGTGTTAACCTGTATGAAAATTCTTGAACTAGAAAGGAAAACTTTTTTTTATTTTTGTACAATTTGTTTCTTCTTCCGGGTTGTTCTTTGCTTCTGATCATGCCTGTTTTTTTCTATTCAATTATCTCCAATACGATTACTGTACATATTGAGTGAAAATCAGACGTGTTCACATACAATAAATTTTCTAGCTTTCACCATTCTGTTTTTTTTCTTCGTCTGAACAGTTGGAATTGGCTGTCGAAAGCACTATACCGACAGACAATTAACTGATTGTTCTCCGTACGGAATTTTTCTTACGCTTTTCTTATAGTGTGTACCCAGCTTAACAGGGTTGCTTGATGGCAGGCTCAGCAAAACGTTAAACTGCAAAAACACAAACAAAAAAGGGTGCACCGGCTTGGTGCAATATCCCATGGGTACTTTATTAGAAATGAAGGTTCACACAGTGGTTAGTCAGGCCCAGAGTGTTTCAATGCCAGAGAGACACCGTCTGTGATCCAAACGACTTGTGCATTTCATGGGTAAACCCTCTTCTGCAGAGCCAATTTGCATGTTTTTTTTTTTTTTTATTAATGTTTAATAAAGTACCCATGGGATAATGCACCAGGCCAGTGTGCCCTCTTTTGTTTGTATTTTCACAGTTGCTCTTTGGACTACCCCAGTCGTTAGATGGCAGCAAGGTCTGTTATATACCCGGGTGGTGTCTCAAATGTGAGGATTTGTCCCCAGCCCACCACACTCATGCGCAGGAGGTGTTTTACACTCAGCAAGAAGTTTAAACTAGCCTTTCCCCACCCCTCTTCATCAAAACCCGGAATACAGACACCCCTCACTGCTGCTTTCGCCAGTGCAGGACTTGAGCATACACCAGCCATGCCCAACCACTGGTTTAAAACTTATACAGAGGATTATAGGGTCTGTAGCAGGGAAAGGTGGAAAAGGCCAGTATAGTTTCCATGTGAAACCTGCAATTCAGGGAGACTTGTTCATATGCATAGACCAAGTTTGCTTTAAAAGTTACCTTTGACCATATTTAAAATGGAGCTAAATCCATCAATTTAACTGCTTCCCAAAACAATCTCAGGAAGACCGTCACTCAAGAGAACTCATTCCCTTTGCTGCAGGCGATGCATACCGATCCCAAGACCACATACATGTATCAAATACAAAGGGTCTCACTCCAGTGATGCCACTAGTTACTAGTATATTAGTTTGTTAGCAATAGCTAGCAAGTAACAAATCTATGGATAAATAAACGGACATACCAGTGATGTCACTGGAGTGCGACCCTTTGTGTTTGCTACATGCTTCACAAAAGAAAAATTCAAGGCATGCCTTTAAGGATCCATTCACATTAAGAACTGCAAGTCATATGCGTAGGAACGCTGTGCGATTCACTTGCAGTTATGTGCAATGCAATTTCAATCCCATGAAATTGTGCAGTACTGCATCGAAAGTAGTGCATGCACTACTTTTTGAATTGCAGCAGATCTCAAGTGCAATTGGAATGCTGGGCGGGAAGCTGCATGGGACCGTGGCTTTCTTGCACTGCATTCTAGAGTGAATGGGCCCTTAAAGAGAAGTTTAAGATTCTTAAAAAAAATCAAACTTTCATACCTAGGTGGATGCTGCATTGGTCAGATGCTGCATCAGCCTCCACCACTTCCAAGACCGAGAACTGAGCGATCAAACACTGCTGATCGCTCAGTTTTTCGGTCTCCATTGAGCAGAGAACCAGTAATTGTAAGTGGTCATCAGCTTTCTGCTCTGCCCCTCCAGCGCTCACTGGAGCGCCAGGCTGTGGATGGAGCGGGAGTGGATGGCTCAGGCTTTTAGCAAGTTGTTGAGAGGCTGAGCCAGCTGCCAGTCCAGGCATTTTGGTGGATCCTGACATTAAAGTTGGGACCTTGCTAGAGCCTAGACCGGCTCTGCGACGTAAGCCAACAGTGGGCTTTCGCATTATCTGGTTATTCCAGCAGCAAGAATCCGCTGATTCTTTACACAGCTACCTGGCTGTGTGAAAGAGGCTTTAAAGTGTTACTAAACCTAGGAGCCTGCATTCACATTATATGGTCTTCCACAGAACATGGGAATACAAATAGTAAATATAAACTGCTAAATACATTTTCTCATCAGCCCTATAAAGCAGTCTTGTGACTTCTCTTGGTGTCAGACAAGCACTGGTTAAATCTTGTAGGAGTTTGCATTCTCTGACTGTCCCGTGAGGCTGCATGACCCCTGAGGCTGCATGTCCCCTGACCCTCTGCCTGGAGGAGTACTGATTGGTGATAAATACAAAAAATATTAAGCCACAAAGTTAGGCAGGATAGCCTAAATAGCTGCTCTCTGTCTCATCCTAAATGCAGATGTGGGTTTCAACCAAAATAAGTATACACAAACACAAAACAGCTGTGTCAAGACGGTAATAGAAAATATCCTTGCAGAGTAGCACTGTAAAAAACTGTATTTCAAATACTATACAAAAATTATACC